TTATTTAATTAATTCCTGGTACTCATTTCTGTTAGAGGCTGAGTAAATCCCAGGGCTTAGAGCGGCCTGAAAAATTACGTCACCTGAAAAAATTCCAATGACCTCATCGGGACTTGAACCCGAAACCTTCCGCCTTATAGCATAGCCCCTCAAACACTACAATTATTATTTCGGAGACACAATCATAATTTCTGATTCTCATTAGGACACTGGGGGCATGCGGTAGCGTAGTTGATTGAGTCACTTTGCTCCTCACCGTTAAAAAATAAGTATGTTACGAGAATGAACACAAAGCCTTTGACAGCACACGAGGCTGGGTGTATAAAAGGGGGAAGGGAACGTAATCCCGGTCATGCACTCACTTTACTGGCAGCTAGTTCGAATTGCTACAAAAGCACGTCAGATGATTTTCACAATTCTCAGATGCGGAATGTAAATTAAAACTTTATTTTAGATTTTTCAGAGACTGNTAACCGCCACTGGAGTTGGCAGAATCCACATCTAACCCACGAAATCACTTTCGTGTGAACACGCGTAGGCATAAGAGAAAACTGTTTTATGCTAGTCTAAAGGGTAAAACAGGTAAAGTTCTACCTGCAATTAACTAAGAAAGCACTACACCTTTACGTGTATGGGGGAGCAGATATATAGATCCACGTTTTCTTAACCTCGGCACTGGTTAGAGGTGAATGTTCAGCTTCAGGCTCCGGCCGTTTTACTCCAAGGAAAGAGCCATTGAGTAGGAGGCTGGGTAGGCCCCAGAACCGGTCTGGACGAAGTGGAGAGGAGAACATTCTTGACCCTACCGACACTCGAACTCAGACCCCTCCGTCTTCCAGCCCGTATTCAGTCTCTGTGACGACTGTGCGATCCCGGCTCTTCTGTGCAAGTGTACATTACTTAAATATTGTTTGTAAGAAATATGCGACGTCTTAGTGAAATTTATATTCTGAAGTTAATCTAATCGACAGAAAGGAGATTCTAGAGAAACAGTTGTGGCAATACAAACGCTGTGATAGAACTAGTAACAATAGTTCAGAGGACCTAGGAATTGGTAACCCCTGGACTAGATTGTCCACTCTTGGGAACTTCACGGTTGACCGGCCGGTTGCTTTTCTATATTGTGAGCACATAAGCTGCTCTGGGAAGAGAAAACTGTGATTAACAGAAAAACTGAAATGATTTCAGACTGTCAGTTTATTACAGCCGACCGGTGTCCACTGCTGTAACGAGTAATGATGACATTTCTTGATTTTCAAGAGTGACTGAATGTTCCAGGCTTCCATCATTGCTGTTGCCACATGTTAGACATGTGATCCAGACCGGTCTGCTCTCTTACAGTGCACAATGCTTCTCACGTTCGTCTCTGCGACAAGAGAAAACTTATCCATAAGCTTATTATGCTTTACTGTCGCTCAACCATGTTTCTTCCACATTTCTTTATTTTCTCTTCCTTTCCGTATATTTCTTCCGTTTCTTTTGTTTTTTGTTTTTTTTTTGCTTCTTTAATTTGTTCCATCTTCTCTTTCTTTCCTTTTTTCCTTCTCTTTGTTTCTTCTCTCTTTTTTCCCCCCTTGGCACTACACCCCCAGTGGGCCTAGGCCTACCTCCATGAACTTCTCTGTTCACTTCGGTTTTTCTAGATCTTACACATTCGGTAGGACTCCTTGGGCGAGTGATCAGCTCGTCGCAAGGCCTCTACCTGTACACAAACACAGGAAAACGCACACAAACTAAACATCCATGCCCTGAGTGGGATTGGAATCCACGATCCCGGTTTCCAAGCAAGCGAAGACAATACATGCCTTAGACCGCTCGGCTACCGTAACCGGCTGTTGTTTCTCTTTAAACTTACTAATTTCCCAATAATCTCTTAATGATTAATGAGAAATATTCAGACCATTAGTATATTAATTTGCTGGAAGTCAAGATAAACACACACATCCACAAAGCAGAAATGTTGATACATATTCTCAGTTGTACACCATGACAGTTTTAATATTCTGCTATTTTTTTTCTTTTCCCTTGGCACTACAGCCCCAGTGGGCCTAGGCCTATCTCCATGAGCTTCTCCGTTCTGCTAATTTTACATAGAGATAATTTCTTAACGTTGACAGATTTTTGCAGAACTTTTCGGCTGTATGGTTCTTCATGTCTCGATGAAACGTCAGCTTGTATGTACAATGCGAGTGAATGTGACACCACGTAGCCTGGTAGAAATTCGGCTAAACTCCTTCGAAACTCTGGCGCACTTTACCGCATTGCATGGCGTCATATTCCAGAAGGGAGGAATTCTCATAGTCATTGATGTGAGAACGGCAAGTCCCACATATATATAGAATAAAAATTTCCTCAACATAAGAATTAATAATCTACGTATTTCTGATGAGTTTGTCAGGAATATGGACAACACTTCACTTGTAGGTCCACATATGATCAGCCGATAACGAAACTGCACTCCATCGAAACGTAACTTCTAAACCGTGCATGGCTCGAAAGCCGTTCCACTACTTGGAACGCCCGAGAGGCAGATGTTTGCTTGACAGGCGCTGCGATAAAATGGCTACCACGACGGAAGTGAGAACCTTAACTGTCGCATAGACTGTATTTCTGTTTATATCCAAAAAATCTTCCGGTACATAATTAATTTAATCTACTAAACAGTGTCCTTACTGTACTCAAACCCCGAAACCAGGTTTTGTGTTTATTCGTTCAATATTCCTCTTAACATTCTCAAGGAATATGTACAGTAGTTTCCCAACCCGTTTTGTTCTCAGTTCTCCAACATCTCGCCATTAAGTCTCCACTATTCATTCTACAATTAAATCGACTGGTTTCTGCATTTCATAATTTTAATGCTGATTTTGTCTGATATATTGTTCTTTTTTTAGTATTTCCATTTATATTCTTCGGCCTGTGTCAAATTTCTTCTAAAACTGTAAGATCTGATGTTTTCATGGAGGTGGCTGTGAAGAATGCAGTCTTCTGGGATGTGACGCCGTGTAGATCTTGTGTGAACCGACGTTTCGGAGGAATGTATCCCTCCATTTTCAGGGTAGAAAAACCCGCGAGCGAGAAATAAGCGTGAGCAGGAGGCCACAGACTGCCCGCTCTCAGATTTTTCTACCTTGAAAATTGAGGCGATATGTTCCTCCGAAACGTCGGTTCACGGCGCCACATCACAGAAGACGGCATTCTTCTTCTAAGAAACTGTAATACTGGATTATGCAGATTCCGCTATTATGTAATCGAAAATTGATTACAAGTCAGAGAACTCCGTGGTAATTAGAAATGTAACTTGTGAGCCTTTCGTGTGTAATGAAATATTCAAAGACGAATCCTTATATATTCCTTGTATTTAGTCCATAAGATGAAGTCATAGCGGCAAAGCCATGTCTGTCCACATATTTTATCTAAGTAACAATTGAACGAATTTTGATTCAATGTTATAATGGGGTCTACATTAAAAGCTTTAAAAAGAATTAAATACTAGTTTTTATAGGTTCAATATACCGTATTTACGCATGTATAGGCCGCGTCACAATTTTCAGACAGAAATTATAGAAAAAATAATTTTCTTGGAATATTATTTCAGGAGTAGAACACTCTGTATTACTAATTATGAATATATATATTTTTTTAAATGAAGTGTGATTTCGAATATTTCGAATATAAGCCGCACCCCAGTTTTCCTCTTGGATTTTTGGCAAAAAAATGTGCGGCCTATACATGCGTAAATACGGTAACTCCTATTATATATGCCATGTTTTTTTCAGAAACATTTAATCGTACAAAAATTGACACATGATATGTAGCATAGACTCCACTAAGACTTTGCACTTTTTTTTTAAATATCTCTGTATGTGGTGAATAACAGACCTAACCAAATAGAGGGTATAATTAAATATAGCGATGCAATGTAATATATAATTAGCTTTGCTTCGCATTTGTAATGAAACACCTTAAAGAATGAGATATAGACAATAACAATAAAACACTTGGAAAATATATCTACCTAGAATACACCTCCCCACTTCCTTTTTAATTATGGTCTCATCTTTGAAATTATGTTCATTATGTTAGCCTTTGCTGTGTATTAACCGTGCTTTGAGTAACAATAACGAATTACATTAGCATGAATATCGCGTGCAAGTAATCCGTGTCAAATATAAAGAAGCTCCCGTTATGACAGGCATTTCACCACACACGCATTTCTGTGTCGCTAATTAATGTCAATGTTTCAAACCATTCTGAATTTTGTGTGTCAAGGATTTCTAAACG